CCCTGAAGGAATGTTTTTTCTTTGTGCAAACAGTCCTTTTGTGCAGAGGGTGTTCTGTGGCTTCTTGGCACAGACGCAGGTGGGTAACACCTGACTGAACATCACTCACTCAGGAGCGTGAAGACACGCACTGCACGTCAGCACAAAGCCAGCCTGCCGGGCGAGCACGGCGAGGTCCCCCTTCCTCAGCTAATCCTCAGCGTCTCAGTGCCTCGTCCAGCTCCCCGGGCTCGCCCCCTGCCACACGCGGAGGCTGCTTTGCGTATTTCCCAAGCCCATGGCTGTCCGACGTCGTCCCACCGCTGAAAGTCAGAGAGCACAGGCAAAGGGGGTGAATTCTCAATGTCCGGGGGCCGCATCGGCCTGGTCACCGCCTGGTCTGCCATGAGCCTCCCGCTTGTCCGAGAGGGACCCCGGCCCGCAGTGGGTGCTGGGTAAGCGCTGTCCACCTGCCCACGTGCCGGGTGGGGATGACTGTGCGACCGGCCTTGAGGGATACCATGGGTCTGGAAGAGGATCAGCAGAAGGCTCCTGAGGCAGGCACACGCTGGGCCACTCACTTGCCTGGGCTGGCTGGTCAGGATGGCACAGCCGCTTGCCCTTCAGGGGAGGTGGCCTGGAGGTGGGCCCCGCCGCAGCCCTGTCTGTCCTGCTGATGAGAGGCACCCTTCACCCTGGAGGTGGTGATCGGGGATGCTTTTGTCTCCCCAGTAGAACATCCAGATCCCACCCGGGGCGACGAAGTCACCACACAGAATACCCCAAGGCCACTCCTGCTGGCCGTGAAGAGGCTGGGCAGCCTCCAGGAGCTGAGGCTCTGGATTCTGCTAACAACCAGGAGGGCTGGAAGAGGTGCCCACCCCACTGACCCCTAACTACAGCCTGTCAGGCTCCAACCAGAGGCCCCGGCCGCACCGCGCCCGCGCTCCTAACCCATGGAAGCTCTTCCAACAGGGACAGAACAGCAGAACACATTGACCAGAGCCAGAACTGCACGCTGATTCCATCGCTACTCCAGGAGAGTTTTCTCTGGTTGTGAGCAGCCTCTCCGAGGAGAGTGTTAATGAAGACTTCTTCGAGAGACTGGTGAGCCTCTCTCAGTGGATGGGCTGGACCGGAAAGCGGCTTGCTGAGGGGGAGGACGCCTGAGGACACCTGATGAGCGACGCTTGGCCAGTGGGTCCCCCTCGCTTGCCTGGGGGACCTCGGGTCTCCCGCCCCCTGGGCACCTGAGCCACAGCCTTCCTCGTCGTCCTGGGCGATACCGATGTCAGAATCACCACGGTTTGGCTGCTGTGGACTGTGGTAAATTCAAGTGGCTCCTGAATGTAACGGCGCTTGGGTGTAAGTCCTGAAAAACGTTGCTCAGTGAACAGCGTAAGTAGCTGGGAAAGGCACTTAGGAACCGGGCAGAAAATCACAGGGCTGATTTTGCCAAGCCACCCGGCTGCCACGGCCAGATGTGGCTGGGTGTGCGGAGGGGGGCTGAGCCCGGGAGAGTCTTGCTGAAAGCATCTGACATGAAGGCACACAGGCGTGCGGCCTGAGATGCTTGGACGCTGTCTTCCCACCCCAGTTCCTCAGGGTCCATCCAGGCTCCTCTTCCTGGCTGGTGGGACTACATCATATGGATGCACCACACAGTTTGCTTCTCTGTCCATTCATCTGTCAACACATTTGGGTTGTTTCTAGTTTGGCACTATTATGAATAAAGCCACTATGAGCACCCATGCAAAGGAAAAAAAGCCATTCCCAGAACATTCAGGGCCCTAAGTTCACATCAAAGGGACTGATGAGAGCGCATGCGTCCTTCTGGTGAAGGGCAACCTTGGATCCACATAGAGGCTCCTCCTTGTAGAGGCACATGCTTGTCCTGTGGGAGAGCCGTAGGGATGCACTGTGGCCACTCTGCAGCCCACTGGAGGATGCTCAGGGAGACTGGCTTGAGCCCTTCCAGCAAGGGGATCGCACAGCCGTTGGAAGATGGCAGTGCCCCTGCACACCTGGGTCCCTGGCAGAGCCAGCCCCCCAACACTGGGTCAGGTCTGAGGAACGACTCAGCCCTAGGAATATGACAAGGACCATCTGAGGCTTTGCAAACATTAAGTATCTTCCCCAGGCTGGGTGTTGGGGTGGGGCCCGTTTCGTCTTATGCCCCGGGGAGTTTGAGACTGGTCGGGTCTGTGGTGATTTGCTAATGCCCCAGATCCTGTGGAGGCAGAGGCCGTGTTGTGCCAAACTGTGGGCCCCACAGTGGGCACAGAGGCCTCACTCTGGTTCAGACACTAGTGTTTCCAGTATAGTTGGTCCACTGGGGTTCCAGGTGGCTCAGCTGAGTGGACAAAAGTCCTGGCCACCAGTCTTTCCACACAACATCCATAAGGCCTGGGTGAACTTGGAAACTGCTTGCCTTATCCACATGGCCCCATCAGGCACACAGGACTAGCTCTGACAGACCAATTTGGCCCTCGTACACCAAGATTCGGCCACAAGATGTCTCTGGGACACTGCTCACCAGCATGTGACCTCTGTAGGGGGTCAGTTGCCTGTGATCCTCCATGCACCTCTGCTCGTGCCTTTACAGGAGAGTGAGGCCCATGTATGGACTCTGGGTCTGTGCCTGCCAACACCTCTCTCTACCATCTCCAGGGGCAAGGCACTGGCAGCCAACACACGCAGCTCACCTCAGACATTCTGGAAGCATCTCTGAGTTTAATAAACCTCATGCTGACTTGCAGCGCCCTGTCCCTTCGTCTGGAACACACACCTCCATGGCTGTTTTCGTAAATACGGTGGTTCTACCGAAGGCCTATACAGCCGTGTTCTAGGAGAACACCCTCAGCGTGTGGCCTCTCGTGGGAGCCATGCAGGGCTGTGGCTTGGCGAGGCCACTCTCCATTGTCTCTGACCTGACAGCCTCCCTGTGAGGAGCACCCCGAGGGTGGCTTACTTGGCAGTTTTCCTCTGTGAGGTTCGAGTGCCTGCAGCCTAAACAGAGCCTCTCCTTCTGACATTCATCATGTGGAAATCTTTCTGGATGTGTCCCCCACCATCCGGTGACGTGGCTACAGGATACTCAGGGGCCAGCGTGGTCCCTCCCAGAGGTGCTGGGGGACACTCGCCAGCACCTCTGTCCAACAGGGCCCATGTGGGTAGGCCAGTCCCCAGGATGGGCCTTCCATGAGCTCCAACGGTATACAGTCCCCTAGGGAGTGGCCGTAGGTCGCTGGGGAGGCTGGACAGGAGACCAGCAGTATACATTGTTGGCAGTGTAGTGGGGTCTTTCCTTAAGGGGCCTGGGGCGGTGACTGGGGGTTTGTAAACCTATTTCGGTGGCCCGGGTCAGACATCTGTCTGCTCAATCCAGAACACTTCCGCTCAAGCAGACCAAGCTAGACTCGATCCAGCTGCCTGTCAGCTCCACTTCCAGGGCCCCAAGGACACCAGCCCATGCCCACATCTCTGCCAGTCTGGCTGCTTGTGGCTGAGGCTGCCCACCACACAAGCACGCCTATTCCGTCTTGGACAGTTAAGTGCCACTACTAGGCCTTGCCATTCTGAGATTCAGTGACTCCGTTGCCTTTAGAGAACCTTGCTCTGTGGCAGTGGCTCCAACTGACCTGCAGAGAAGAGAAACCACAGAGCTCTCCAAGGATGCTGGGCTCCCCTTGCGGACGTACTCCTCAAAGTCTTGGGAAAAGGCTCCGCCCCTCTTATGGAGGGTGAGCAGCTCTCATGTGCTAAGTCCCCTCGAGTACCCCAATCTCCCCGAACCCTCGGGTCACCCCCTCTGCAGTACACTGAGGTGGTTCTGGCATTTCAACCGTACTCAGCGAACCTGCCTTGTGGTCCATGTTTCAACCAAGCAACTGCACCCGGGGGCCCTTTCTAACTCCTCGGGCTGCAACAAGTCCAGACCCTCTGTTAGTGGCCCTGTTTCCATGGATCTGGCCTGATGCATTTCATATTCCTGTCACCTGGATCCCACACGTGTTCTCCAGATTTCTATCTGCACGAAGTTCTTCTGGAGCGTAGCCACCTCATCATGGGCCACACTTTGTACCTCACCCTTTGGGGCCTCCTGCGGCCTGAGTCTAGTTATAAACAAAGCTGGGGTGGGGGGAGGTGGTCCTGAGTGTCCCACAAGGACCCCGCCCCAGGGGGAGCCATTCCGGGTCCTTCAGGTAAAGGAGGACTGACCTCTTCAGGCAGAGACCGAAGGGCGCTCTTCTGGCAAAAAAGGCAGCGGAACAAAGGGGTTTGAGGCCCCCAGCTTCCTCAATGACTGCCCACAGCCTCCACCCCAATTTCCAGGGTCCCATTCCTTCCCAATCAATAGCCCAGCTTTAAAAGATGCCCTGACAGCTGGGCCCAGACATGCATGGAAGGAGACTCTGGACATACTCGCTGCTTCGGCTGCTCATTCCCAGTTGCCCTGTGTGAACACTGTTGGCTCTGTGTTGTTGGTGACTGTGTCGGCCACACTTAATTCTGCTGTGCTTTCCACCCCGAAGATGGCACCTTGCCATCTTTGGTCTTCCTCTCTGTGGGGCACTTCCTCCCATGGATTCAGGGAGCTTGGCCTGGACCTGAACCATGAGCTCTCTCTGCCTTTGCCGTCATCCACAGCCCACCCTCCTCCTGCCTTGCTCCCTTGAGGGGTCTGCTCACTTCTTTATACAGGTTCTGGCTTCCGCCCTGAGCATCAGGAGCTCCTGGTCATCCTTGGGGTGAGGAGCCACACAGAGTCAGCAGGACCTGGGGGCCACATTTGGTGTCTCCCACTGGACAGGGGTCAACTGCCCTGCCCAGTGGAAGGTCTGAGGAGAGCTCTTGGAGCTGACCCTAAGGAGTAATCCAGGGTGTCACCTCGGAGAATGTATACCTTGAGCCTGCGGGTTTGCAATAGAGGTTGATTGTAAAGCAGCCCCAGGTTGGCCTCCCACTTGGGCCACAGCTGCCCAGGTGTCTGGCCCAGTTACTCTTTGTGAACTGCAGAGTCACTGTCATACAGATGCTGTATTTCACAAAAGGAAACACAAGCCTGTGCAGAAAACGACTCCATGGACCAAGCCCCTCTTGTAACTGGAGGAGGAGAACCGCGACTGGCTGTCCTCAGGGGTCCCGATGCACGGTTTCCACATGCCTGGGTTAGGCCAAAGTCTGGGTGCCCACCTCCCTGCCCTCTGCATGTCCCAACGAGGGAGTGGACGCATTGCTGCGGATCGGGTAGAGCGACCAGATGCTAATGCGCTGATCCCCGGACCCTGCGGCCAATAAGCCATCAGTGGCAAAGGCAACGCAGTGGACGGTGGCGCTGTGGAAGGACAGTACGGCCAGTGGCTTCATCGTCCACCAGTGAAACACACGGACACGATGGTCCCAGCCCGCAGTGACCAGGATCTTGCGGTCTGGCCGGATCTTGACATCAGCGATCCCAGGATTGGTGAGTTCATGAGTTCTGCATACCTATAAGATCAAGAGAACCATGAAGTGGCTTCTTAGACCCATCCCAGGGGCTCCCACCCCTGGACAGCCCCATCTAGGCCGCCAAGATGGTTGTATGCTCCTGCAAACTTTACCCCCCTACCTCCCAGGAGCCAGGCACAGAGCTGCTGAGGGGAGCAGCCTGACTGCTGCCCTTGGCCAAGCCCTTGGGTTATGACAGAAGACTTCAGGCCCTTCTCTCAGAGAGCCCCTGAGGTCCCGCAGAGCTGCTCCCCTATACAAGGTCTCGGAGCAACTCATGGGCTGCTCTGTTTCTCTGCCTATCAGGCCCTCAGGAAAGACCTCAGTGGGCTGGGTCTTGGGGCCCCTCACCACGGAAATACACTGCACTCTAGCGTCCACGCAAGACGCATCTCCAGTTTGATAGCATAAAGTCTGCATGTTTCCCCTTCTGAGGAAACCTCACACCCACCCACAGCAGGAGGAGGATGAGAGATGCTAAGTCCATCTTCAACGGGAGGGTTGAAGGGCCACCAAGTGGGGGAGCCAGTGGGTGCAGGCAGGACCAGTGGGGGACAACACCGAAGGTGCAAGCCGCAGGAGCACCTGCAGAGCCTGCCACACTGGCCATGGCCAAAACCTTAGTCCCTAGCTTGGTTCTGGGAGAAGGGCAGGGAAAACAAAACAAGGAGTTGCACAGGTGTGTTCTATCTCCATGGAGACACTGGGAGCCAACCTCTTTCTGGAGGCAGAGCACTCCCATAGTCAGTGCTGGGTGATGACCCCTCGCCAACACGCACCTCCTGCAGCAGGTAAGGAATCAGAGCTGTCTTTGTGGTCACAGCTATTCATGGTTACATGGCACTGTCTCATGCATTGCAATCTGGCGTCTCTGTCCCCATGCACTAAATGACAAAGGCACTTTGCCATCATTGTGACAATACACAGTAGCCACTTCCTTCTACTGATCCTGTGTTTGGCCTAGCCCTGTGCACCATGAGCTCTTGTTGCCCTGAAGTTGTCTTTGCTGTCCCTTACCAGCACACCCTTTTCTCCTAATTCACTTCCTAATGGGGCCATGGTAGTCTTGGTTAAGAATCACTCATCTCTGCAAAGATAACATAAGAGAAAAGGAAGAAACACAGAAAAGCCAACATTCCTTGGAAGCAACCAGAAATTGTCACCAAGGATTTTTTGCCATAATTTAATAAAACAAAACTCATGAAGCAGTTTCCTCTATAAAACAAGAATCTGAAGTAGCAAAACACAGAGGAGGAAAACTGAACTGACAGAGCACAGGAAAGAAAAGGAAGGAAGACCTCAAAGAAATGGAGGGGAATGGGAAATGGCAGAAGGAGACTGGAACAAGACAGTAAGAGCAGGAATGATACAAAGTGAGTGAAATGAAAGGGAAACAAAGAGTTACAATGGATTGGAGAGAAAACAGCAGATATGGAAGACAGGCAGAGGGTCTCTAACATTCAGTGATTTAGAAAATCAATTTTTTTTTAAAGATTTTATTTATATATTTGACAGAGAGAGACACAGTGAGAGAGGGAACGCAAGCAGGGGGAGTGGGAGAGGGAGAAGCAGGCTGCCCACCAAGCAGGGAGCCTGATGCGGGGCTCGATCCCATGACCCTGGGATCATGACCTGAGTCAAAGGCAGATGCTTAACGACTGAGCTACCCAGGCGCCCCTAGAAAATCAATTTTAATTTTTAGAAAAATTGAAGCCTTATGATCCAGATCCAAAGACAGGCTATAGGATGGTCAACGTTAAGGTACACCTTAGGAAAATCACTGGACTTAACAGCTTAAAAAGTCCTTTTGGTGGTCAGGCAAAAAGATCATGTCAATTGTGAAGTAAGTTAGGCTGTCCTCAAAATGTTCCACGGCCACATCTGTGTCAGCAGACAGTAGAGGCTGCGAAGACAGACATGGTCCAAGCATTTTATATCCAGCCATACTGCTGCTCAAGTATAAAAACAATAGACAAGCATTTTTGAACATGTAAGAACTTAAAGAATTTGCTCCCATAAGCCCTTTTTTTTTTAAATTTTATTATGTTATGTTAGTCACCATACAATAAATCATTGGTTTTTGATGTGGTGATCCACGATCCATTGTTTTCGTATAACACCCAGTGCTCCATGCAGCACATGCCCTCCTTAAGACCCATCACCGGGCTAACCCATCCCTGATGGCTAATGATGATGAACATTTTTTCATGTGTCTGTTAGCCATTTGTATATCTTCTTCAGCCATAAGCTCTTCTTGAAGGACTGGAAGATTAACTCTGGTCTCATAAGAGATAACCAGGGAACTTTAGCAGATCATCTGGCAGAAAGCAAGGAATCTACTTACCAGTAGGATTAGACCTAAAACAATACATAGATTATGGCTCTAGAACCGGTTATGTAACTAACTGAAATATGGGGGGATAGTGAGAGAGATGGGATGTTTGTTAAATTCACTGATTTGCTCATCTTTTGTCATTTGGGGCCTAAGATACAATAGTCAACCTCATACTTGAGAGATTATCTGACAATCCACTAAGTAATGACAAAAACAACGTGACTTCCTTCCCCGTCCCTGACACTAGGTGCCATGTTTTCCTAGCATTTGCTCTTGTATTTCTCCATAAAAATATACTCAACAGATTTATAATTAGGTTCCAAAGTTAAATCCAAATCTGTGCTATGTGTAAGAGAGACACCGAAAGAATGATTGGCAAAGATATACCAGGAGAGTGCAGACAAGAGAAACAGGGGTCCAATGTCAGTAATAGGAAACGTTGAATTCAGAGGAAAAAGCATGAAGACAGACTATGTACCATACTTAGCAATAATAAAGGGTACAATTTGCAATGAAGAGCTATGACTGTCTGTTCTAGAGATAAACGGGCGTATCATTCATGAAGCGAGAACAATAGGACTGTGGCTATGATGGAGTAACTGGTACCAGAACAGTCCTCATGCTATAAACAACCATCAAACTGGACAAAAGATACCAAGCAACCATGTCTGGGCAGGCAGTGGACAACAGGTGGGGAGGGGCAGCTGATGAGGGGAGCCTCCCAAATACTCTGGCAGCAATCTGCCCTGGGAAAGGTCCCAGCCATGAAATCTAGGTGGTGCCTAGAGGCCACATGAAGCTGAGGAGGCAGAGATCAGAGCGTGGGGGCAGCTAGGGCAGCTGCATCTGTGGGGTGAGCCAGCAGCATGGAGGTTAACTGGGGGAGGGCCTGAAGGCTGCGTCTGGGCTCCCCATCAGTCCTTGTGTGAAGGCTGGGCTGTGCATGGTCAGGACACCACACGAGGTTTACCAGAGTGACTATAGCAGGGTTAGATGGAATAGATAGGGGAGATCAACCATGATCTGGGGTCCAGCCAGCCAAAGCACAAACACCACCTGACAACCCAACACCAGGTGAGATGCCACAATGGTCTTGCTTCAGGAAGAAGGATCACACCTGTGGGTAGGGCCTACCCTGGACCTACTGCAACAATGCTAGAGACGGAGCTCTACACGGTCTGAAGGAGAGGCAGAGTTCAGAAGATGAGTCTTACCACATTAGAGGAGCCTGGGAAGGACCCTGGGCTCTCCACGTATCTGCCCTGACAGAGCATAAAGCCAAGCCTCCACAAGTTCAAGGTGAACAGCCAGTAACTGAACTAACTGCCTACAAGAACAAAAGTAAATATTCTTCAGAGCAAAAGATTAGAATTCTGAGTCTCCATCATGTATCACTTACAATGTTGAGCACACAAACAAAAAAATTATTAGACATGCAAAGAAGCAGGAATATAGGATCCACAGTCAACTGGGAAAAAAGCAGTAAACAGAAACTGACCCAGAATGGCACAGATGTTGAACATATCAGATAAAAACTTTAAAGCAGCTATTTAAGTAAAAAAAAAAAAGAAAGAAAGAAAACACATTCAAATAATTATAAAGAACAACTTCCCTGATGAGTGAACAGACAGGAATTACTAGCAGAAAAATGGAGATTATAAAAAAGAACCAACCCAGAACAGCCAACATATTATGTTAAAGGAGAAGAACAAAGTCTGAGGCCTGATGCTACCTGACTTCAGGACCTACTATAAAACTATAGTGGTCAAGACAGTGTGGTATTGATGAAAGAAGAGACAGATCAAAGAAACAGCATAGAGAGCCCAGAAATAGACCCCACATAAAGAGAGTCAACTCATCTTTGACAAAGGAGCAAAGGAAACATAATGAAGGAAAAGATACTCCTTTTATCAAGCAGTGCTGGAAAAATTGGACATCCACGTGCAAAAATATGAATCTAGACAAAGACCTCACACCTCTAATTCACAAAAAATAACTCAAAATGAATCACAGACCTGAATATAAAACACAACACTATAAAAATCATAAAAAGATAACACAAGACAAAAACCTAGATGACTTTGGGCTTGGCAATCACATTTTATTTAGTTTTTTTAGGTTTTTTTTAAAGATTTTATTTATTTTTGTGAGAGAGAGAGAGCATACATGTGAGCAGGGGCAGTGGGAGGGGCAGAGGGAGAAGCAGACTCCCCACTGAGCAGGGAGCCTGATGCAGGACTTGATCCCAGGACCCTGGGATCATGACCTGAGCTGAAGGCAGATGCTTAACTGACTGAGCCACTCAGGCACCCAGCAATGACATTTCAGACACAACACCAAAGGCACGATCCATGAAAGAAAGAATTGATAAGCTAAGCTTCACTAAAATTAAAATTTTCTGCTCTGTGAAAGACACTGGCAAGATAATGAAAAGACAAGCCACAGAACAGAAGAAAATATGTGCAGAACACACATCTGGTAAAGGACTATTAACCAAAATGTACAAAGAACTCTTAAAACTCAACAGTAAGAAAACAAACGACCTAATTAAAAAATGAGCAAAAGACCTTAACACACACTTCACCAAAGAAGATCAACACATGGCAGGTAAGCACATGAAAAGTGCTTCTGTCATATGTTATCAGGGAAATGCAAATTAGAACAA